GTGGAGAAGAGCTGGTGTTTGGGCTTATTTGATTTCAATAGAATCAACTTTGGTGTTTGGGCTGATTTGATTTCAGAATCAACTTTGCTAGCAGGGGATTATGTTGGGGTTTTTGTCCCCTCCTTGTCTGCAGACCATTTGCTGGCACAATGCAGCATCTCAATTTCTGTCTCCTTGTCTGCACTAGAAATCACTTCTAATGATTCATCCCTGCCTCTGTTATTGAAAAACTCCTGGAATTGAGGTGGGAGGGGGCTCTGGGCCCACCTGACTGCATTCTCTGATGGGCTGCTGTGAAAATCCTCTGCTGTTACCTGAACCCACTGCCAACCCAGAGAGGGCTCAGAGTGCTTTGAGACCCTGCCTGGGAACTTTTGGCTCTTGCTTCATTCCAAGACACTTAAGTATGCAGAAAATCATCTTGCTCATTCCTTTTTTTTTTTTGAAAAAAATGCATTTCACCCACAGATCTCAGAATAACTCTGACACAAGCACTTTGTACTCCTCTTACAGTATTCACAGACTAGCACCAGCTCACTCATCACATGCCTGTCCCAGTCTTTCACTGATCACTCATCCAATTCCTCTTTTTTTTTCTGCGGAAAATTGCATTAAAAACTCAGATAGAGGAATCCTTGTATCCCGGTCCAATGCCAACCAGCAAATCTCTTTCACAGCCACAATGAGCATGTAAAAACACTTTGCTGTATTTTGTGCACGCCAGATGCCAAAACCTCAAGCACTAGATATTTAAAACATTGCTATAAACACCCAAATCATTAAAACCTTTGGTGTTAAGGGACCACTTTATCAGTCACTTTTCCCAAACAAACAGTACCACAGACTTTTTCTCCTCTGAATGGAAGCAACACGTTTTCCAAAGCTTCATATCCCAGCATTCTGCCTGGCCCTTCAGCTGCAGAGGCACAGCCAAACAATGGTTTTGGAAAAAAGGCAGCCAGGCAAACAGCTCTCACCAGGAAACCACTGCTTTTGCACCTACCCGTGACAAGGAGGACTTAAAAGCACCAAACTGCAAAATGGAACAGCTCAAGGAGGCTCTTGGGACAGAGTTCCCAGGAAATACGTAAAAGCACTTTTCAAACTAAAAATTAATCATTTGTAGCCAGCTCTAAAATAGCCACGGATGTTGCAATAGAAGAGGAAAGAAAGTTGACAAATGCTTCCCCACCACAGCTTGATGCACTTGGCTTTCTCGTAACAGCCTCTGGTTCTGTAATTCTGGGACTGCACAAGGGTTTTTGCCAGAGCAGCTACATCCCCCTTTGCAGGAGCACATCTGGGCATCCTGCAGTGGACAGCTCCTCAGAAAACATCCAGGAAACACCAACCATCTCAGTCCTTTTGTACAAACACGCAAGCAAAGTCTTCTTTACCCCCTCTGTGCTGAGGGAAAAGGAAACCCCAAAACAAAAGTGAGCTGGGGAAAGGCATGTGTTGAGTAAAACTCAATGCTGTTTGTCATTGCCTGCTGTCAGGGCTAACCAGGCTCACACAGCGTTTCTGGAGGTGAAAGCACCATCACACTGACACACCTGATGTGCTCACAGAGCAGGAAACCATCCACACTGAGCCTGTGAAAAATGTGTATTTTATGATTGGCTTTTTGCAAATATTCAAATGAATATTATATGTGTTCTGTTAGTTATGCTGTATTCATTTTCTTCAGTAGTGTGTTAAATATAGTTTTAGGTTATAACAAAATGTTAAAATAGAAACTGTGCTAGGTAAGATACTTGTTTTAAAGAGAGGACTCACACCAGATAGCATTCACAGGACACCTGAATGTTTCAGAAAAAGAGAATTTATTGCTCCATTATCGAGTTTTTCCTGCCTTGCTCAGCCCTGGAGACTCAGTCAGGATTCAGAGGAAGAAGCTGGCACTGCCCAGACAGAATCCTGTGTTTGAATGGAATTTATGCATCATGGATGAGGTGTATGAATATGCAACAGGCTGTTGCTTTTAAGGGTTAATCCTCTGTTAACGTGGGGCATTTTTTGGGCTTATTTTGCCCAGAAAGAGGTGCCTGGACTGTCTGTAACTCTTTGTTTTTATTGTCTCATATTGTCCTAAATCCTAATTGTCCATATTATTACCACTCTAATTATATTACCATTTTAATAACAATTTTATTACTATTAAACCTTTAAAATTCTAAAAATAGGTGACTGGCATTTTTCTCAACAACGCTGCCCAATACTCCATTTTGTGACACCTACCACATCTCTAGCCAGCATAAGAATTGAGCACTTCAATTAAACCCAAAATGGTTTTAATCAAACCAAATCCCTTCTCATGAGTGTTACATTTGAAGAAGTACACTGAGGTAATGGCTCTGATCTCACACTTGACAGGAATTCTGCAGAAACTGGGGCTTCTTGTAAATCTCGCTGTTTTGTGCTGGCTAAGGAGAAAAAAACAAGTAGAACAACAAAAAGGAGGTTTCAGTTGTGAGACGTTTCTGCTGTACAGAAAGGAATAGAAATGCAGGTTAAACAGAGTTCACAGGAACCTAATCTTCAATTAATCTTTGAAATAAATGCCTGACCTCACACATACTTTACAGTTAAAACTCAACATTCCTGAAGGGAGCTTTGCTGCCTAATCCAACAAGCTCCCCACCTCCTTTTTTTTTTAACTAAATACAGAACCTTACATAAGTTCATTCTCTCAAATCATTGAACAAACAGGAATTACTCAAAGGGCCTTTTTTTAAAAGATATGCCTTAAAAGCACAGCACAGTACTCTGTGCTGAGCATCTGGCAGATGCAGCCTCCAGTAATAAAATAGAATTAACTGGCAGAGCCTTGGACATTTAGTCTAGGAGATGAACTGGCATAATTGCTTTCTGTAACTCCATATGCATTTATGAGAAATATATATTTTTGTTAAAAGTTGGAAAGCCAAAGTGTTCTGGGCATCTCCAGAGGAGAGAGCTCTCCAATCACACTGTGCTGGAAAAGCTCTGATCCTTCTTCCATCAGCCCTTCTTACCTCTGGACCCACTCCAACCTGTCTGCTGAGCTCTCTCTGTGGTTTTGGTGGATTCAGGGAGTTTCTCTGCACACCTGATGATGGTTTAAAGGGATACATCAAATTATTAAAAGGGATAAATCTGATGGTTAAAAAGGATCCATCACCCTGCACTTCATTCAGCTTTGCAGTTTCCTGCAGGTCATTTTTCACACTTACTTCAGACCAGTATTTGAAGGAAAAAAAAATAATTTATGCTAGGATAGCCCACAAACTATCCTCCTCCAAATTACAAGAAAACTAATGATGATGCTCTACAAAAGTTGCTCAAAGTATAGAAGGAAAAAGCCCCAAACAATACTCCAAACATGTATTGCTGCCTTCTACTTGAATATGAAACTAAAAGTCATTTTAATCTTTTTGTTTGTGGTAAAAGTGCTAGCTTTACCACACTAGCTAGCTGAAATCACTAAAATTAAAACACTAGCTTTAACTGAAATCAGACAAAAACAATGTGCAACAGAGCCTACTGAGAAATGTTCCACTGAGAAACTGGGGCTGTCTTACTTCAGGCCACAGGAAAATCTGAATTAAAGATCTGACTGCAGATATGAAACTCCTAGAGGCTGACTAGACAACTATTTAGTGAAACAGAAAAACACACCCAGGCACGTGCACTCACTCTCTCCCTGACTCCACAGGCACACAAGCAGCTGCTCCAGTTTTGGCTTTTGCTGCTGCTCATTTCCAGCACCCACTTTTTGTTGGCCTGTATGTTTGTGGTTAGCAGTCCAGCCTGCAGAAGGGATTTTTACCATTCAGATGTGCCTGCTTTCCCCTCACACCCCTTAAGCAAATGTGGTGTTTCCTCCCCTTCCATCTCCAGAAGAATCCAGCTGTTGGACCATTCTCCCTCAGTGCCCTCTGGTGCTGTGAACACCTTCCCACCCTGTCAGCACTGCTGGTGCCCCGCTGCAGGGGGATAGAATGCAAGAAAATAAAGATTGTGTATAAAGGAATCTCACCCCCAAGGAGTTGCAGCTGGGCCAATTATCCAAGATTAGGAGCAGGCCTGACTATTGTAGTGACTTGTGAGGGTTCCTCAGGGTGATAGACGAGAATTTGGCTTCATGATCAGCAGGCTGGATTTATTGATATATGATATATATATTACATTATTACTGTACTAATAGGAATAGAGAGAAAAGTTCAGAAGCTGCTAAGCTAAGAATAGAATAGAATCTAAAAACAAGGTTCTGTGTCCAAGCAGAAAACAAGGACAACTCTCCCGTGAGTGGTCAGTAAATCCAAACACTCACAGAAGACCAATCACAGCTGCACCTGCTGCATTCCACAGCAGCAGATAATAATTGTTTACATTTTTCTTCTGGGGCCTCAACTTCCCAGAAAGGACAAATCCTAAAAGAAAAGATTTTATGAAAAAATGTCTGTGGCACCTGACTTTACCAAGCCACAGGTGTAACCAGTGAGAAGGGTCTATAAAAGAGTGGGGTGGTGTTGAGAAGGGAGCTGGGGTCAGTGGCTGCTTTGGGAAGAGTCAGTGCTCTGAGAGCTGCCCATGAAACACCAAGAAGGTTTGGAACTTTTGAGATAAGGAGATAACAAGATGACAACACCCTAGTGCACAAAGTCCCACTGTCCCTGGAGGCTCTGCCCATCCCCTCCTGCTCTGCCTGTGTTTCATCTCTTCAATTCAGAGAGCTCCCTGCTCAAAGAACTCCCTGAGCAGCACCAAGAGAAGCCTCCCATGGCACCAGGCTCTATCAGGCAAATGTCTGGAGCAGCAGAGCCCAGGACCTGTGACCTGTGAATATTCCACGGTGTGTTAAGAGCACAGCATTGTCTCCCACCACAAAGAAATCTGTCTCCTTTCTTACTCTGGCTTCTGGCACTACAATTGCTCATGTGTTTTTACTGAAGATGGTCAAAATTAAAAACATATACTGTATCTTAGTAAGACACAGGAAACAGAACTCCAAGGACTCTGAAGAAACATTTAGCCAAGCTAGTCCATTTATTGAGTCTTTATCAACTGGGTTTTGATTAACAAGGGAAAAGAACAACAAGCAACATACAAAATAAATACTGAAAACAAGTTCCCTTCACATTGATAAAGTTTTCTGGGGACAAACCTTAGAAGAGATAAAATGCTTTCTAGCTGGAAGAACGTGCTTCAGGTTTAGAAGAACAAAATTTCTTAGAGAAGAAGATTCTCTTAAAAGAAACTATTTTCATACAGCACTACACTTAAAAACTGAACCATACACCAAAGAAAAAGCTGTGAGGGAGAAAAGGTCCATATTTACATATAGGACACACAGTACAAAGCATGAGCTGGACTTTTACTTTACATTTAGAGTTGACACCATTAGTGTGGGTGGGCTAGGGACCAGGAGAGCTGTTCACAGGGTTACACTGGTGCAGGCTCTGGGTGATGCCCCTGACCTCTATCAATCACTGGGGAGCTGTGCCACTGCCTCCCAGGCAAGCATTTACACAAATGAAGACACCTTTGCTCTCAGCCTCTCCATGCTTGCTGGGAGAAGATTCACCATCTCCTTACTGAGTTCTAGTTCAGTCTCAACGGCAGGGACAGCATCTGGATACTTCTCACAATAGTCTACCAGAAATGTGTAATACTCCAGTGATGTCTGCATGTTTTCCAGTTGCTTTTTGCTATCTGAAGTAATGAGCTTACCATAGAGCCGTGCAATGTGAAATTTAGCCACCATGGCAGGGCGGAGAACATCTTCCTCCAGCTTTTCAGGAAACACCTTATCAGGGTTCCTCAAAGAATCCAAGAAGAGCTCATAGTATTTGATTGCAAACTGAGCCAGAGAATTGATTTTTTTAACTGTGTGTGAATCTAGCTTCTCTAACCTGTTGCCAATGGCCACCTTGAGATCCATCATCTCATAGTAGGTGTCAGCCAGCTCACACTGCAGCTGCCTGCGGACCAGCAGGTAGTACTGGGGGTTCAGGTCAGTGTAGATGGGCTCCAGCATGTCTATCCTACGCTTGTGCATCTTGCAGCGCCTCTCATAGTCCTCTTCAAAGAAAGCAAGGACCTTGAACAGAGCACTGTGATCCTGCACAATTTCAATGTGGTCAGTGACATAACCATCCACCTGAAAGAACTCCTTTGCCTCCTGAACATAGTTCTGGCCAACCAGGAACACTTCTCTGGCTTCTTGAAAATCTAAGGGATAAACGCTGCTCACTTTCTCCTCCATGGCCAGGACAGAGTCACAGATGTCACTTGTCCCAAAAAGGACAGCTTTCTTCCTGCCCTTCTCCTTTTCATCCTCTTCCTTTTTCCTCTGGGCCTTAAGCTCCAATTGCCTGTCTGGATCCAGCTCTCCTATGTTATCCTGAAATGAGAAAGCATGCTAATTGAAACAAATCTGCCTTATGAAGAGAGACTGAATCATTTTGAGTCACCTTTGAAATGTAAACTAGTGAGCAACACAACAAAAGAGAAATCTTTGATATATGAGGCCTTATATTAACAAAATAATAATGTAAATTGCATTATCAATTCTGAAAAGACACAAAACTAAGGTGGTTCAGTCTCCCTACCCTGTGTGACAAAATAGCAAAGGAATAAATGTTAAACCCAAGGGCTCTGCTTCACAAAGCCTTTCAGCAAATGCTGGTTTAAACACCTGAAGAAATACTTAAACAAATTCAGTGAACTGAATCAAATCTGAATTAATCAAATGCTTGGATGAATGAGAACATCAGCACAGAAAACTTGCATATTAAGAGAACGTTCTTACTAGCAGTTAAATAAGCAGAAATCTTATCAACATCAAATCAAGCTGCAAGAAAATGCAGCAGAGAGGAGGAAATTTTGTGAAGTTGCACGAAAATAAAGAATTAAATAACAATAATTAAATAAAACTACATTAATAACAATTAAATCATAAAAGCAGTGCACTGATCACTCTGCAGAGCTGCTCCCCTACCTGTGCTTACTCTCAAGTGCTGCCTTTAAAGCAAACCATAGCATGAAACACTTGCTACACTGCAAGCATTTGTTGTTTTGCTTATTCCTTGTTACTAACTCCCCTTGCAAACACCAGAGCAGCCTCAGTTTGCTGTTAGACAATGACAGCCACAGAACAATTTTCTGTTACCTCAAGCAATTTTCGAGCGCTTTGCAGAAGATTCAGGCAATACTTGATCCAACACCTTGCAATTTCAGCTTTCCTCTCTGGAAGGTCCTGTTGGTCTGGCTCTGTTTCATCTGCTGAATGGACATAAACACATAAAAACTTTATGAGAAATCCAGCACTCCAGCAAGACCCTCAAATGTTCCATGCAAAGAATATACTTGTATTTAATTTTCCTCATGCTTAGACAGAAACATGTTCTCCATGTTAATTTATGTAATAGTTCTGTAAACTGCCATTCCTGGTAGAAACCCATATAGATTAACAAGGCTTTGTCATGTATGAGTTCTGAAAATAAATAGATCATAATGTATCTTTAAAAAGACCTTTCATCTTCAAGGTGTTTTACTGGAAAAAGTTTCCAGGTCTCTCTGTAGTAAGAGAAAGAAATCAGGATAATAATAAAAACTGAATAATAATAATAATAATTCATTTTCTGAGCTTCAGCTGCCTGCCCAGTAATTGTGTCTGAGGATGGTGAGGGCATTTGCATTGCAATGGGGCCCAGACTTGCTACCAAAAAAGGGAACAAAACAGGGGGAACTGCCTTTGGTTAAGCTACCTGGTACAAACATAACATTTATTAGCTCTAACTTCTGTATTTTTCTCCCCAGAGTCTCCCCACTATCACAGCAGCACTGCTGATGTCTCAAGATGACATTTTCATAAACCAGATTTCAGCAAAACCTCATTTCCCAGTCTCCATGCAGAAGGCAGTGAGGTAGCTGAACAATGAGAGGACATTCCTGCAGGAGAGCAGCACTTCTGATCACCAAATAAATAAAGAGCCAACTTCACACCCAGACCCACTGCATTATCTTTCATTACAGCAAATGAATTTCTTATTAAGGAATTAAGAACTGCTGCTAATCTAAGAAAAGGCACATTTATTAATTATGCCTGTGTTAGTTTATATCCCAATTAACATGATAAAATGAAAGTGCTTGAAATGCTGACTGTGTACTGGTCCTTCTGTAAATCAGAGCCTTCTGCAAGTGCACAGCCCAGCTCTGTGCCATGCAAAGGAAGGGAAGGCAGGATAAGCAAATATTTCACAGAACAAATGGGACCATCACTCCTCCTCTGTGGTGCAAGGTAGAACTCAGTGGGCTCATACTTGCTCCCTCCCCATGAATTAAAGCTCCACCAGCTGGAAGCCTCCACTTGCCCAAGACAGACACAAAAATGCTGTAGATGAGCAAAGCCAGCCCTAAAACAGAGCATGACACTACCATGGAACCACAGGGCCCTAAAACTGGGGTCAGATCTGTAGAAGTTTCCTCTCCTGCTGTTCACACTGGACTGCCAAGCTGCTCCTTTGCATCAAGGCCCAAAGAACAAGGAGAGCAGCCACAGCTCCAAAAGCAGCCCCAGATGAGGCTGCAGCATCCAGCACAACACAAGCATCCGCTGCATTTGGGGCTTTAGAAGCTGCAGCTTTGCTCCCTCTTTTAAAGCTTTTCCCAGGAAACATCTGGTGTGGTTCACTGAATCCCTGCCCTCTGATCACTGAGGCAAACTGCACTTTTAGCACGTGTACAAAGCCAAATGGATGAAGTGGATATTGTTTTAAATTTACTTTTACTAGATTATTGCTTTCTGAAACACCAGAAACAAGCACTTTTTCTATGTAGCCAACCCTGAGCTGTAGCAGCAGTCACTTTTCAGAAACATTCAACTCTACTGAAAAGTATTTTAGGAAATTAACACTGGGATAAGTTTTGTACATGTTGTTAAACTTCAGTGATGCTTAATTCACAAGAATTTTATTCAAAACTCTTTTATAAACTTACAGTCTTCAGCAGATGGCACTTGCCCAGCTTGGCTGAAGATGACACTGGCTGCTGCTAGGCAGTGTCGAGCCTCCATGAAGCATTCCTGGAAAAA